AGGTAAGTTAAACTTCAAAAGTTGCTCACTTTATATTTTGCTCATGTGACACAGTAAGTGTCTTGTTCCAGCTGAAAATAAACATTGACCCTTGAAATATGAGGGAGAATGAGAGGAAAAGACACTCAAATGCTCAGTGCCGTTTATAATTAAATGTCATTGAGACTAAAGAACACACTAAAATCTGTTTAATAGGTCTTCCTTGAGTAAGGATTTGCTCTATGGTGACCTCAAGTAAAACCAAACTATCTTGTCCTCATAGCAATATCTTTTTCTTGAGAATTCCTAGATCTGGGTCCTGCAGTACATATTTTCTTTTCAAATTTATTATCCTTTTGAAGAAATAAAATGGTTGCATCAAAGCATAAAAACCCAGTTTACACAGATTTTTTCCTGTTACACAAATCTAATCAGGCAGATGCAGCCTTACATTTTCTTCAGACTCCTAAATTTTTCCCATTTCAGCCCACCAGCCTCTCACCCTAACATGACTAGGTAGGAAGGTAATTCAGCAGGATTAGATAGAGGAGGCTGTCACTACAAAAAGCTGCATGGAGGGGGGAAAAAAATAATCAGTTAAAATGTTTGGGTTTTTTTTTCCCAATATTTGCTCCCAGAGTAGGTGCAAATATCAGAAGCTGTATGACAGTATCTCATACTCTGTTCTGAAAGAGAGGACAGGCATTAAACAAACTTCCTGAGTGCAGTTAAAATAACAGCTTGTCTAACTCAATTCCCGTCAGCTCAGCAAACACCTTATCTCATCTGGCTCCAAGAGCCTCGGGGGGTCACATTTTGTGGAATTGTGTTTACCTGCCCCACCAAAGGCAGGGATAAGGACACAACAAATCAGACACACATCTCGAGTACACTTAAGGCTTTCAGTACCTTTCCCAGTTGGACTGAAATACAGAGGGTTATTTTTTGTTTATTTGGGGTTCTTTTCAAGACAATGTATTAAATCTGTGGTAATGCAAGGTTTGAGGGAGGAGGCTTCTCTTCAGCTGTAAGAGTCTGGCAAAAAATGTCAGTGTGCATTCCTTTATGTTCATCTTTCAAACTGTTACTGCCATCCAGATGATTTCTGTGTGTCCATCTCTCCTTTTCACAAGCATATATGGATTCCTTTAATGTCAGTACAGAGTGTGTATCAACAGAAATCTGACCTTTCCAATATTGGAAATATTTTTTCCGTATCCATACTGTTATTACATCTTGTCATTTCCCCTTACAATACACAAACTCAGGTATCCACCCTGGGAAACAAAAAGCTGGAACTCTGCAAAATGTCAGTTTGTTTGGTAAAAACTTTCCTTACAGTGGAATTACCACACAGTTTATACAAAATACAAAAAAAAATATTTGTGTAAATTATAAAATATATTTGTATATAGCTACAAATTCTGCAATTCTGACTACTGCTTCCAAACTGAAAGATACTGTACCTGCATTTGAGTTTTATAGAATTGCTGTTGTGCACATTCTTTATCAGAATCATGGCTTCAATGGCAGTTTTAAAGGAGTTCTATTTTGACTCTGTAAATATTTTGAGGGGTACTCTGCAATTTCCATTTAAACTACAGAAAAATCTCTGTGAAAGGCACTACTCACATTGCACTTGGGCTGATCTCCAGTAATCCAGCTGGACATCACCCAGCTACACTAGCTGACCCTGATTTGCAGGGTTTGGGAGGTGATTACGTGACTCTAAGTCTGTAATTTTGTTCTGGGTTTTTTAATTTTTAATGATTCACTTGAGTGTAACTTGAGCCATCACTAACATCAAGGTCATTCTGAGCTCTGTGGGCCAAAAGCAATAGTGTGCCAATCAAAATGATTATGCAATTCTAGACTAAAATGAGAATTAACATCCTCTACCTGGGTAATTGTTACTTGATAAAATGTTTCTCTATTATTTTCACATATTTTCCAGTTGCACCGATTATTAGAATTTTATTATTTTTCAGTTGTGTAACAGCAACAAACTTCTTTTGTTTAATACTGTTTTGCTCTGGCAGCAGGAAAAACTAGAGGTGCGAAAAATCTACAGAAATTGGAAAGGAAAAGAGAAATTTGAACTCCCAAGAAAACAGAGAGGGAAAAGAGGACTCCATTACAGTAGTTGCTGAAGGAAGTCCTGATTGTACAGCTTAGGAAACTAAACCATAGCACGACTAGAAAACTCAGCAAAGATTTTACAGTTATCTTGAAGAGACCTCTGGGAATCCACAACACTGAATGAGGTATTTGCATCTATCCGTAAATGCTACATAGGAAAACAAGGCATGAAAATGATCTCTGAATCTACAGCAACACTGAAAATTTCATCACGCCAAGTGATGCCAACTGGGTGCCACAGAGAAGAGCCCATAATGCAGCCGATAGGAACAGGGTGTGTCAGCACACACAGGGAGGTCTGATGTGGATTTTTGTTCCATTTTCAGCAGAACTGGGTCTGCCAACTGTGTCTTACCTGGCTGTGGCTCTAAAAGCAGCTTTGACAGCTTAAAGGTCACCAGACAGCCAGAATTCCAGCCATGCTTCAACACTTGCTACTGCTTGCTCAAAGGGGCCAAGACACTGATGGGCACCAAGACCTTCACCCTGCAGAGTAATCTCCACCATTTCAATCAAATCACACTTGCATGAAGTACCAAAAAAACCTGGGAGAATCAAGTGGCTTTTCCACAGTGCTCTGTATGGATAGTGCATTCACAGAGCTTTGGCAGTTTTCCATTTAGAAAGGCTTTAGCATTGTAGAGAACATATAGAACCCCAGACACCACAGTAATCAGAAGGAAAAAGCTACATTTTATCTGGGCTACATAATGGTTAAATAATAAGTATCCCTGGCATTTCCAATTTGCAGCATTAAATCTCACATTGACTCTTAAAAGTTAGACATGATACTATCCTGATTTTCAAATAAAATGTCTTAGCAAAGATCATAATCTAATCAACAGCAATCAACTGTAAATTGTTCAGTCATGTTCTACCCAGTAACTCAGAATGCTCCCTAAACAGATTTGCCCTCCATGACTTTTCAGAGTACACAGCCACTGAGAGAGAGGGAAATCACTTATGGGGGCAAGGAATAGTGGCCAGCAAGATAACCAAAGAAAATTAGGCAAAACATCAGGCAGCACTGCCTTACTCAGAGATCCAGCCAAAACGGGAATGGCTCATTTGAGAGATGTATCTCATGTTGTGGTAACATGTAAATCTTTCAAGAAAAATCCTACCATGTCATTTGGACAGCGGGCCTTTATCTTGATGCCATGTTTTCTGCTTCTTAGAGCCATCTTTTCACTTGTATTCCTTAATAGGTGCAAAGTCAGTTCTCTGGCAGCACTGATTGCTTTACACATTTAAGTATTTTACTAAAATATGTCACCATTATGTGGTTATGACAGGGGGAAAAAAAGAGGGAGAGAAGAACTTCACAGCTAATTGAAAACTGAGGCTGATTAGAGATCAACAAGTCTGAGTTCCAGTTTTTATCCTGTGTCCAGGGATACCAGAGAACACAGAGCTCCAGCTGCCAGCATTGTATGAACTGATAAATGCTGATAAACTGCAAGAAATTAATCTCTGAGGAGTGGGAGACCCACAACCCACACATGGTTGATTACTTACCTTGATGTTTCTGACATGTGTTAGCAAAAAGTCTGAGGATGCAAAGGCAGGAATTAATAATAAAATACAACACAATAGATTCTTTTCCATTTTGGAAAAAAAAGTGAGGTTCCAATTGCAATGATATGCATAAATATATAAAGCTTTGTTTACCTAGTGTTAATAAATAACCCAATGACAGAAGTAGGATTAAGCATTAGGCATTTGGGGAAAATCAGGTGCTGAATTTTGAATTAGTATAATCTACAGAATGCCGTTAGAAAATCTGTTAAAGAATTTACAGAATATTTCAGCAATGTCTCTTATGTGTAACAGCTCCAAAGAGAAATTCACAGCCATTTCTGTACTGGCAAGTGAGATTAATCTCCACCCCATATCCACTTTTTTCCCAAATGAAAACTGTCATCTTTCTGATACTTCCTTAAAGGCTTTCCCTGGCTCAAATTTACTGCAGCCATAACAAAGCTTGCAGTCTGTGAAAGCCATTTAAGCTCTATTTCAAAAATACCCCTGTAATCCTCCATATCCCTCAGGTACCCGATTTAGCTATCGCTATTTGACATGTATCCTGTCTAGTCTAGAAACTTTCCATTACATGGGTTCCCATTCACCTTCATGGCTGAACCAGGTCCGAGCTCCCAGGGCTGGCATCTTGCATGCTCAACACGCACCCAGCCCGCAGCTGCAGGACATTTTTGTGTTTGTTACCGTGTCAGTTCTCTCTTAAACTTTTTAACTGGTTCATTCGCCCTTAATGAAAGACAGACTTCGATGACTGGGGGTTACATGCTCAGTGATAACAAAACATCTTATTTTTTTTGGTTTTCCTGCAGTCAGTGTTATGGCTGCGGGTGCTCAGCCACGGGAGAGCTCCAGGAGCGCCTTTTTACCCAGCCTGGAGATTTTTTAACCAATTCCCCACCCCATCCAAAGGGACGGGATGGCTCTGTGGGGCTGCTGCGGCACGGCGGCCGTCAAGCGCAGGGACGTCCCGGAGCAGCGGGCCGGGGCCACGCCGGGCGCGGTTCGGGCGGGGACAGCGCTGTCCCGGGGCCACGCCGGGCGCGGTTCGGGCGGGGACAGCGCTGTCCCGGGGCCGGGACGGGCGCGGTTCGGGGCGGGGACAGCGCTGTCCCGGGGCCGGGACGGGCGCGGTTCGGGGCGGGGACAGCGCTGTCCCGGGGCCACGCCGGGCGCGGTTCGGGCGGGGACAGCGCTGTCCCGGGGCCGGGACGGGCGCGGTTCGGGCGGGGACAGCGCTGTCCCGGGGCCGGGACGGGCCCGCTCCCTCAGCCGCGCTGCCCGCTCTCAACATGGCCGCCGCGCCCGCTTCCAAAATGGCCGCCGCGGCGCCGCTCCCGCGCCGGGAAGCTGCGCGCCGGGCGCTGCATGGCCGCGGCCGCCCCGGGCATCTCTATGGCAGCGGGCGCTGCCCGGGCCCGGCGGCGGGAGGATGCCCCTGGCTGCCTACAGCTTCCTGCGGGCCGTGGGCAAGGGCAGCTACGGGGAGGTGAGCCTGGCGCGGCACCGCCAGGACCGCAAGCAGGTAGCGAGGGGCTGGGCCGCGGGGCACGGGCACGGCTCGGCCTGAGGGCAATGCCCGGCCCGGGGCTGGGCGGGGAGTGCCGCGTCTTCTGGTTCGGCTGTAGCCAGGCTTTGGCTGCTGGCCCTGACCCACCTTGGGCACGGGCAGGGACGTGGCACCGTGTCGGGGTGCAGGTGTGACCATCACCTGGTGTCAGTGTGGTTGTGACCATCACCTGGTGTCAGGGTGGTTGTGACCATCACCTGGTGTCAGTGTGGTTGTGACCATCACCTGGTGTCAGGGTGAGGCTGTGACCATCACCTGGTGTCAGGGTGTTTTTGTGACCATCACCTGGTGTCAGGGTGAGGCTGTGACCATCACCTGGTGTCAGGGTGAGGCTGTGACCATCACCAGGTATTGGGGTGTGGCTGCAGCCACCCAAGCTGCTGTTTCTGTTATCTTCCCTTCTCTATAAAAACTTTTTATTAAAGGTGTGAAGAAGACTCTTTCTGGGAAGGTTTTGGTTGTGTCAGAGTAGAAGCACAAGCATTTTTGTTGGAAAACTGAAATAATCTGTGTAGTCTGGCCAAAGCAAGGTGTTTGATAGGGAATGTGAGAGGGCAGAGAAAGGCGGATGGAGAACATCCAGAGGGCAGTGCCACAGGAACCTCGTGAGTTATGGGCGGGATTTGATGGGAGATGATGGGAGGAGGTCAGTGCCCAGCAGGGATCAGGAGGTGTGTCCTTCCCGGATGGGGGCAGTTCCCTGCTTGGAATGCCGAGGTGGATCCCTATGGCCCGTGACTTGTTCCCTCCAGGTCATCACCAGGTGCACAGTCCAATGCCCTCAAAGAGTTTCTAACCTCATCTCATCCTAAAAGTAAACAGTGCATTGAGGTCACTTTCACTCGGATTCAGGTCCTTGGATTTCATTGTGGTGCTGCTGGTCATTAACGCTAGCAAGAGCCTTGCTTCCCGTTTGTAGTTGCATTGTAAATATTGGGAGTGGTTTACTGTTTTTTATCTTCTGCCAACTTTTACAAACTTTATTTTGTAGCACAATGATCAGGATTTTTTTGTTGTGGCTTTGGCACAGTGCCACATGTTCTGTGAAAGAAACTGTGTCTTATTTAATAAGCGTATTTGCTGTTAATGGCTGGATTTTTGTGGAAAAGGTCAAGTAGCTTCAAGTGTTCAAAACAAAACAAAATGGAATTCATACACAATTTGGTATAAAATAAGGTGGAAGAGCACTGCAATAGACTTCAGTAGAGAATCTTGCCAGGAAAGCATGCTCATTAAACTAAATATAATCAATGCCAAGTTTAAAGTAAGACTAATATATGTGCTTTTTGCATTTTGCCGAGTATTTTCTAAAAGATGCTGATATAAGCTTTCCATAAACGATTTTTTATAAATTATTTCCATGCCCAAAGATGGAGTTGTATTCGACTTGTCACACAGACTACAGTAGTTGCAGCATTTATATTTTATTTTGAAGTTAAGTGATACTGTACACAATTAGCTTTGTGCTATTCTTCCTGGAAGTTTTGCAGCATCACAGGGTATATCCAGAAGGCTTCTGAAATACAAAGTCATGAGATGCTGTGGATTTTCTGGGTAATTGGTTCTCTTGGTATATAGGGGCATCTCCTCAGTACTAATTAAATGTGCTGGGCTAATTAATAGGTGCTGTCTGGAGAGCAGACACTGATCCATCTCTAAGGATGCTAAAATTCAGCAAGTAAAAATATTTTAAAAGTTTTTATTTATAACCTCTCCAGTAAGAGCAGGTTCAAGCATAACCATGACATGATTGTTTTGTGGAAAGCTGATGCCCTAAAGTGATGTCCTACAAAATTTTCTTCAGGATAGGGCCAGATCAGACCTAAATATTGGAGTTGTGGGTGATGAAAGTATTCTATGGATTTTATCATCTCATTTTCAGCTTTATAAATGTTTTTGCTGAAACCTGAAATTCCTTAGAATTACATTCAATGTAGTACATATTAAGGAAGTAGAAAACTTTTGTATGGAGGTTTGAGAAATTCTTGACCCATCTTAATAAAGAATAAAAGAAATTTAGGAATTAATATAAGACCTTTTGTCTCTTTCAGAAGACTTTTATAATTTGTTTGCACATGACTGCACACTTTATATATATTTAAGTTTACTATTGATGTGACCTTTTTGAGAGTAACTGTGGTGCACAAACAGGTACTTCAGGCTTAAAAGATGAATGACAGACACACATTTAAAATGGGTGGGGAGAAAAAGAGAAATGTGAACACTATTCAGAAGAAAGCAAAACACCACAAAATTCCTGAGCAGAGTTGTATTCAGGTGGATGAATGGAACACACCTGTTTCATTTTTATGGTGTAAGGGTAGAAGAGAAGAAATTCTGCATAACTTTCATCCAAAATGCAGCCTCCATGTAGATTAATCAGAGATTTCAAATAGTGTATTTCCTTTAAGTCTGGGGAATTCCCTAGGGCTTCTGCAGAGTCACTTTCATCTCTTTCCATACACCTTGCCTTGTTTTTTACAGTATGTCATCAAAAAGTTAAACCTTAGAAGTGCTTCCAGCCGCGAGAGGAGAGCAGCAGAGCAGGAGGCACAGCTGCTGTCCCAGCTGAGACACCCCAACATTGTCACCTACAGAGAGTCCTGGCAGGGGGACGATGGCCACCTCTACATTGTGATGGGCTTCTGTGAGGGAGGAGACCTCTACCACAAGCTCAAGGAGCTGAAGGGAAAACTCTTGCCTGAGAATCAGGTGGTGGAGTGGTTTGTCCAGATTGCCATGGCACTGCAGGTACAATGAAGTGTAATTTTGTCACCTTCAGCTATAAACTTAATTTGACTTCTTGTGTATTTAAAAAATCCAGCTAAGCTGCAGCCTTTGGATTCCTGTTTGGCTCGGGTAGCATCTAATTACAGTGGTTATTAGTACATTAAAAATGGATCATTGCAGTCAAATCAACTATTTTAAGTAAGAAATTGCTGACATGTTTTATGTCCTCACCTCTGTAGCACGGTAGACAGTGGCTGCCTTTGGGGTGTTTGCACCTCATGTCTGAAATGCTTCTTTGGTTTGAAAGTTTACATTAAATTTACAAAATGTAATTTTTTTGGGGAAAAAAAGCATATATTCTTTCAGAATAATTTTGTGTTCAGTCTTTTTATTGCTGTTTTTAATGGTAAATTTAGACTATTAATGCACATTTCTATTAAGCCTTATCCTACTCTTTTAAATTTGTAATTGGAGCTTATCAAACTTTAAAGGCAATTGTTACAGCAGTAAAGACTAGATATAGATGTTAACATTAAAGAAAAAGAAATTGGACCGAAAATTCTATCTTAAAGTTGGCTATTGTGGTCAAAAATACAGTAATTATGGGTACTGTTTGGTTTTTGTTATGACTAATTTGCTACACTGTTTACACAAACCTCACATTATAATTTCCTCTGAAATGTTTTTGGACTAAGATTGTCAAGAAATGAAAGCAGCAGAAAGTGAGTTACAGTCTTAACTTTACATTTTTATTTCCTCTTTTCTGCTGATTTACAGAGATTTGGTTAAAGCAGTGCCAGGTTTTGGCCCCTGCCTGTATCAGTCACTTTTAATGTTATTTCACCAATAGTGTCTTTGCAGGTCACTCCTGACCTTGAGAGGGATTTCTGTGTTTTTTCCACTTTTGTGTTTTCTTTCTTTGACTTGTGTAATGAGATTTTACTCTTTGACTTGTGTAATGAGATTTTACTTTTCAGCATAAAACAACCAATTAGGAGTTAATTAACCGTATTTATATGATTTTTTCCCCCTAGTATTTACATGAAAAGCACATTCTGCACAGAGATCTTAAAACTCAGAATATTTTCCTGACACGAACAAATATAATCAAAGTGGGAGACCTGGGAATAGCCAGAGTGTTGGAAAACCAGTATGACATGGCCAGCACTCTCATAGGCACCCCGTACTATATGAGCCCTGAACTCTTTTCTAACAAACCCTACAACTACAAGGTACAGTATGACAGTATAATTTCACTTTTCTTAGGAGCCTTATTTTATTTGTCTCAGATCATTACAATCTTACCTGTGGATTTTGGTTTCTTATTGCTTCCAAGTCTTTTTAATCTTCCCAAAGACCAAACAAAAAAATAGGAGAGAGATTTGTGGGAATGCTTGGTTCTGAAAATGTGTTTAGGGATTCATAGCATGTGCTAAGTTATCACAACCAAGGTGTTCAGCAGGCTGCCTGTACCTCTCACAGCTGGAGAGACAGAGAATGGGAACAGAAATATCAGCCTGTGTTAGAGAGATGCACTTTCTGAATTTATTGTATACCAGACAGGAAGTTTTACACTCAAAAGTTGGATTAGAAATAACAGCAGCATTAAAAAATAAATTAAAAAAAAAAGGTAAAGGAAATTTTAATGAGAGGAATAAGCAGTGTTACTGTGAATTTAAAATAGAACAAAGCAAACGTGTTCAGCTCTTGCTGTGAGCACACCATAAATATGAGTGTCTGTAATGAGCAAGAACTGAGGAGAAACTTCTTCCAATGAAAAATCAAGATTTTTCATTTACAGTTAGGATGGGTATTATACTAAAAAAGGAAACAAGCAACTCTTCCCCCAGTGATAGCTAATTTCTTCACTTCCTTTTGGAAAAAAATTGGGATATTTTTAAGGAAATAGTTGACTTGATCAAAATTAAAAATAGAAGAGTGAGGCTGAAGCCAGAAGTTTGCAATGAATTTGGGCTTAATTAGCTTGCTGTCATTAAAAGCCTGTTTCAAAGCAGGTAACTAAGTCTAAAGATAAAACCTGTACAACTAATAAGAAGTTCCAAAACATTTTCTCTTCCTCTTTTTTCAGTCTGATGTTTGGGCCTTGGGCTGCTGTGTTTATGAGATGGCTACACTGAAACATGCCTTCAATGCCAAGGACATGAACTCCTTGGCTTATCGAATTATTGAAGGGAAGGTAAAAACTCCTCAAATTTTATATATGCTTGGATTTTCTATCTAGAAATTGAAATTATATTTTCTAATCAGAAATGCTGAATGGAGTTGAAAATACTTGCTTGTAATGTACACCATCATATGTAAGACTGTTGCTTTGTGGTGGTGGATGATGTGATACCAGACTAAGGGAGTTATTCCTTTGTAGATATAGCTAGAGTTTCTTGTTGCCTCTTAATTTAATTAATATACTGATTAATTTTCAAAGTTCTGAGGTGGCTGTCTTAATTTGCTTCTGGTTTTGCATAAACATTACATAAAAACTAAATTACTGTGACATGCCATTTTCCTGTTATGTAAAATTCACTTATTTAAGTGTCTTCTTGCTTTGGCATATAATGATGTGAATATGGATTTATTTAATATAATTTTTTAAGCCTATATACAGAACTTTCACTGTTTGTGTTAATAAAATTAGGAACAGTTCTTAGCCACACTCTTGGAATTTCAGTATTTTGTTTAACATTAGGCAATTGGGTAACTTTCAGCATTTGAACAATGGTCTGTTTTTTATATGTATTTTTTGTGTAGCTGACCATAATGATCACACATAAATATTCTAGAAGTAGCCCCTGTTGATGCATATATTAAATAATATCAGACTTGCCTTTCCTTTCACAGCTGCCACCCATGCCAAAGGATTACAGCCCACAGCTGGTAGAAATAATACAAACTATGCTCAGTAAAAAACCTGAGGAGAGACCGAGTGTGAAAAGCATCTTGCGACAGCCGTATATCAAACAACAGATTTCTTTGTTTTTGGAAGCCACAAAGGCGTAAGACATTTTCATTTGAGTGAAACTGCAAAATATTCATGTTATTGTTGTCCTTTTTTTACAGCTTTTCCTGGGTTTTGTAGCAGGATAAAATCAGTTTTGTTATGTGCAGCTACAAAGCATATGAACATCAGTTTCTATGAATTCTTTGGGAAATATGAGGGAATTAGAGCGGAAAATACTTTTTTTCTGCAAATGCAGAATCAAACTCTGTAGTTCTTAAAAATACAGAATTGGTAGAAAACACCTTTCCATATGGCTCTTGAGGCCATTTATCGTCTGGGAGTTGAAAAATCAGGTTCCTTTTGATGTAATTTTTTCTCTTTGTTAGGTTTATAGAACTGACCTTGGTGCTCTGCAGAACAAGTGTATATTGCTGGCAGAGTCTGAATTGAGTTTTTAAGCTCCTTTACTAGAATTGAAAATGAGGTTGTTGTGCAGTCTGTTGAAAAATCCCAGTATCTGATACTCTTTGTATGAAAGCTCTTTAGTGGAATTGGGCTTTTTTAAAATAGGATAATCAAAAGAAATATTTTAAGACCTTGTTGATGGTGACTGAATGAGCAACTTTCATTTTCTTTACAGGAAAGCTGCTAGAAATCATAAGAAAACAGTGGATTCTAAACCTAAAGACCCTTGTTCTGTCATCTCAGCAAAGAATGAATCTCACAGCAGGAATGTTACACACCAAAACCACTCCTCTGAGCAAGCCAGAAAAGACAAAGTTGTAAGATATGAGGAGTTTTTACCTTAAAAAAAAGCTAACAAAACTCAAATCCCTCTTGCTTTTTCTAGATAAAAACGTCAGTTTTAGAACAAGTGTCTTGAGCATCCCTGAGAACATTAGATCTGAATCTCAGAAATGTGTAAAATTCATATTAGGGAAAGAAATGTTTTTAGATAAGAGTGGCAGTAATTAAACACCTATGGATCAGTGAAGCTAATTGCAAGATCTGTAAGATGTTAACAACACCTGGTTTTATGTGAGTTACTCCTGAAGTAATTTGGGTCAAATAATTTTTCAAATATTTCATGACAAGGGGTAATAGTTTTTTCCAATCAAAAACATATTTAAAAACTAATTCTAGTCCTAACCAAAATTCTTTATTGTTGAAATTCTTTCCAGTGGTTACAACAAACCTTTTGTAATGGTTAATCTTGTGCATGTTTTTTGTTTTCTATAATAAGTTTTCTGTTCTGGGTTTGAGCTTTCAATGTTGAAATACTGGATATATGTGATAGAGCACATCCTAAAAACTCTTGGTGCTTGTTCCTCCCTTAGGGAAAAGCCAAGTGAGTACAACTTTGCTTTCATGGTCCTGGTGAAAAGTAGGTGTACTCATGTATATAAATCTGTACCTGAAATAGGTCATTTGCAAATCTGTATCTCTTTAAAAATGTGGATTTTACCTTTTTTGAGGCTCCTAATCTGTTATTGATTATAATTTCCTTTCAGTTTGCTTCACACCTTTTTGCTCTGGTGTGTTCTTGATTTTTCCTTAGTGCTTAGAGAATTCTTTCATATGTGTGTAAAATGCAAAAGATAATGACTTTTTTTGTTTTTCTTTTAATCCTAGGATAAAGAAGATTGCATCAGCAAATGTAAAGCCAGCAAATTTCATCCCTTGGGGAAACCAGCTGTTGAGTTGGAAAGAAAACCAAACAAAAATGATCTGAACAGCTTGGGGGACTCCATAGCTACAGTCAGTGGAGTGAACATTGATGTCTCCCTGTCTGAAAGGATGAAGCATGGAAGTGACAAGTGTGGCAGTGAGAGTATTCCAGAGAATATTAAAGCAAAGCATTTACATGTTCTAGGCCATTCTAAAATAACATCTAATAACCCACGAATTAAGGAAGATGGACAACAGCAAAGAGCAAAACAGGCTGTTAAAGCTGAAAGTGTTGAATCAAAGCCATCTTCTGTTGATTCTGTAGAAGATGATGATGACACTTTGAAACTCCTGCAGCCTGTATCAAAAGACCAAAAGCAAACTGAGCTGGTAATGCATATATGCTTATTTGAAATAGATTTAAATCTATTAATCAGTAGCCAGCTCTTACAATTTACAGAGCTGCTGCATGTGTTTTTCTGTCAAAGTAGGATGTTGCTGATGCAATTGAGATTCTTAAGTAGTTAAGAGCCTTGGGTTCAGATTTGCAAAGGCAATATGGTAAAGTAGTTTTGAGATTGCATCTATCTAGATGATTGGAATTCTGTTTTTACAGGGAGAAAAACTTGCATTCCCAGCTGTGAACAGAGAGAGTAAGAATAGTTTTGTAATGTTTGTTCTATGTTGTAAATAGGCCTGAATAATCTTGATTTGGATCAAGGGGCTAATTGGTGGTGATTGTGTTTTCACTTCATTTTGGTCTACCATGAAATTTTTAATGAGAAATCATTATTTGTTGTAGAGCTTGGATTCTACTGAAAAGCTGCTAGCACCCTTTGTTCCTGTTGTAATTCAAGTAAGTGTCCTTCTTTGAAGGTTTAGTAGCTAAAGATGCTGGTACAGCAGGTATTTTATCTCTCAAATAAGAATTTATTGTGGTTGTACCTGTGCTATGTTAAGGTGGTTGCAGTCCAAATAGTAAAGGGACCTGTTCTGATTTTTTTTTTAAGTGTGTTTGTGTAAATCTGAAATGACAGGTCTGTATTTTTTTAAAAATGCTTTTACTTATTAGGATGATGTCAGTAATGGAGCTTCAGGAGATGCTCAGGGAAAAATGACCTTCCACAAGCAGCCTCACAGCTGTGTCAGTGAGCCCTCGGTCCCATGGCAGCAGCAGAAGAAAGAGCATGCTGAAGGCTGCTCAGAGAAGGTGCAGATACTTGAAAAATACTTCTCCTCTCTCCTTTAAGACTCCTGTGTTTTTCCTCTTTAAACGTGGGACCTATTTTCTAAAAAAGGGTGGGTGTTTTAATGCTGTTCTTGTCTCATGTGTGTCTGTATGACTTCAGTGCAGATCACTGAAGTTGACTGGTAGAAGCAGCCTGAGTAGATCTTTGAAAATCCCAGTACCTTCAGGGATGAGGTGGGTGTGCCAGATGGGCTGTGCCTTTACTGGGTTGCAGTGTTTCCTAGGAAATTCCATTAGGACTTCTCACTGTTTGTAACTACAAGTCAGTACCTTTGTGGATAAGGCTACTTGTGGTGGGTAGTGGCTTAGTAGTGCTTTAGAACAGATGTGTAATGACTGCCCTGAGCTTCTGAGTGCAAACTGTCGGAAGAAAATCTTGGCATGCACACAGGATGGAGCTCCTGTCAGTTCTTCCAGACTGAGCAGGGAGGTTTCTTTGGGGAAAGGCACAAGGCTAGAGAAAAGGGTGATTGGTCATTGGTAATCTAGTTTTCTCTTTGGGTTTTGCTATTTGGGAGCGGGGACAGTTGTTGCAAAAGCATTCCCTGAAAAATAGTTTGGGAGGAGGGGGGATAAGATGTAGAGATGGCAAGAAGGGAAACAGATGTAAGCAGAGATGGGGAGAGGGAAGGATGAAGCTGGGAGATGTGAAAAGGTTACAAGAGAATTCAAAATCTCTGCCATCCAGCTTTACCATGCAAGAATGTCTTCTAGATTAGTATTTAAACTTTTAATTTTAAAAAATTATCGCTCACTTTTCTGTCAAGTTCAGAGCAGTTTCTCCTTGGCCTCTACCTGTTCCTTCTGATGTGACCCCAAAGACAGCCCAGAGGGGTGCAGAGCACCCTGAGCCTGCAGATAGTGCCAAACCCAGCCAAGCAGCCATTCCAAAGGTTAGTGATGAAAATTGTGTGTGTTTGCCTCATTCCTTCTGAGCAGTGTGTGCAGTGAGTAAAGAAATGTGTAGGAGCTTCCTGGAAGCCCTGCTCAGTGGGGAATGAGCCTTGCTGAGCCTTGGAGGTCAGAAGCCCCTTTTCTAGAGTTCAGATTGGTCTCATTGAAGACAGTTTTGTAATAAATAATTAAGCATTAAATAACAGCTCCCTCTCCTTGAACCCTTGAAATGGATTTTTTGCTTAATAGGTGATTAGAAAACAAAAGCCATAATGGTAATTGCAAATTAAGATCAAATTAACTTGCTTTGAAGGAGCGGCCCTTGTCAGCAAGAGAACGAAGGAGGCTCAAACAGTCTCGGGAGATGCTTCCCTCTGGTAATTTTTATGTTTATATGTTAACAGTTTATGTATAAACAGGCTAATAACTTTTTTCTGAAGAAATTATAACTTCTTGTCTGTTCTTCACTGCCATCTTCAGAATGGTGCAGTAAGGGGCTAGTTCTGTGTTAAATAAAAAATTCTGTTAACATGTCTGTATTTTTCTGCTTTTTAGTTACTTTCAATTGTGTTCTGTGTTGACAACTTGTCTTTGAAATGTACAATATTCACTTTCAAACAGAAGCTCCAATGTTTTCTATTAGCAAAATACTTCCCTCCCTGCTTGCCTTCTGCTAGGTGATAGATTTTTTTCTTGCATGAACATGAAACTAGTTCAGAATACACACAGCTTAGTTGTAAATATTGTCAAAATGTCGTCCTTGCAGTGGTTCCAGTGAGACAGTCATTAAATGGTGCAGCAGTTGAAGCAAAGTCACATGTGGAAAATTGTGTTAAAGTTCCTCAGTCCTCATCAGATCCCAGTATTTCTCAGGTAAGCTTTGTCAAAAGTATTTCTTCCATGTAGGAACAGTAATATATACCATATTGCTGAATTACTTTCAACTGTTAGAATTTTTGTTATTTACTCCCTCTTCCCTTAGAGAAAGAGAGAACTCCATTGCCTGTCTGATGATGAGCTAAGCTCTTCCACAAGCTCTACAGACAAGTCTGATGGTGATTCCAAGGAGAAGTAAGGATTTTGTTTAATACTGTGCAAGAATTTTCACTGCTATACTGGACCTTGACTTGGAGTGGAAAAAAAAAAGGCTTTCACACTTCTATCTCTGCATAGTGAGTGATTGAAGAAGTGTGTGATGCATAGAGGAAAACAGCCCCATTGAATTATTGTCTCTCTGTGACTATACACTTTCCGTGTTGAACTTTCTGGGCCATGAAATTGTGTACAATGGTTTTGTGAACTGTAGCTTGCCAGGAAACCAATCTTCCAGCACCAGAGGACAGCTACTGTCAGGATGCATTAAAAACACAAGTTAAAATATGCCAATGTGGTTCCTTTCCACTGTAAATGAGGCTGAATTTATCTCTGATTTTTGTCAGTATAAGCAGTTTTCAAAAGATGCAATTTGTTGCATTACCAGAATCAGCAATAGCCAGTAGGACTGTGGGGTTTTTTGGGCTCTGAGCCTTTGTTAAATGAAATAGTACTGATGTTGCTATTGATAAAACTGCACCACGACAAGGAATTTAACATGCAGTACTCTACTAGGACCTCAACAAACTCATTGAAAGCCCTTGGAATACAGGGTGGAAATTGCATTATGACAGTGACTGAATTATTTCTTCCTTCTCTCCTAGGAAAAGCAATGTGAATGAAATGAATGACTTGGTGCAGCTGATGACATGGACACTGAAAATGGACTCCAAGGAGAACTCTGAGTGCTGTGTAACCTCGACCCCAGCCCCAGAGTTTAAACTTCATAGAAAGTATCGAGATACTTTGATTTTGCATGGAAAATCACCTGATGAATCAGAGGAATTAAAAATGGAAGAGATTCCTTCAGGTCTGTTGCTCTGGGATTCTGTGGTAATACTTAAAGTTATTCCATATTCTTTTGCAGAATATGAAAATTGTACTGAAAGTAATTACTGCTGCACTGATTTTTTCATTGTATTTTATTTTTAATAGATATGTCATTGGTCCCTTACAAAATTAGGAGAATGGTTGAAATCCTTAGATCTGATGTGGTGCAAGGATTGGGAGTGAAACTTCTTGAGAAGGTGTACAGAATCATGGAAGAAGATGATGAAGAGAAAAGAGAGGTGAATATCTTCCATATTTAAAATATTTTAATTTCTTTATAAACCTAGATAAATTAGCAGGCTCTTTATCCTATTGAGATAGCGTAAACCTTGATTCCAGAAAGTCTTTATGTAGTCATGGGCAGGCAAGGACCTAAGTGTATAGTAATTTTCACACTTAGGTTTGATTCTACATGTAGACTGTGTTCAAATGCAACTTCTTCAGAAACCATCAGAGTTTCGGATTGTACCATTGGGAAGGTGTGAGGGATGCAAATAATTTTATTCTGTGCTGTTTGTCCAGTAATTTCTTCTGTCTCTCAAATGTTTGCCTTCACATTACTTGCCTCATGCCCTTTATGTCCAAAATAAGAAATAATTTAACATCAATCCCCAATAGAATTGAATAAGGAATACCTCCAGCCCCTTTGATTCCAAGCTTGGTTACACTTACCCAGGCAGTATTTGGTTTGTAACCTGTGAAGATCTTATATTTTAAATTTTTGGGTGGGATTTGAAAGTCTCTTGCTTTTAGACAACAACAGTGTTCATTTTTCTTCTCTCTCATCCACATTGCCAAGCTTCACATGCTTCTTTCAGCTGAGTGCTTTGGTATTTTTCTGTTAATATTTTGGTAGCTTCTGCTTTTTTCAGTGCCAGTAAACGTTGTGGGTTTTGTTCTGTGTGTGCTGTGAACAGCTGCAGTTGCGGGAGCACATGGGAGACAAGTACGGGAGTTACAGCGCGAAGGCTCGGCACCTCAAATTCCTCGAAGAAAATGTGAAGCTCTGACCAGAATCTTTTCCTTGGAGGAAAGAACTGTTTTCTAGCTCCTTTGATAGACTGAACCAGCCTACAAAGCATGTTCATCCACTGATCTCCTTTGGTGGAATAAGGAGGTGAACTTGCAGAAAACATGAAGAGTTCATAATATTTTTCATGTTAAAATGTGAACCAGGCTATCACTTGTACAGAAGAGAAACTTCTGAGTTTCTCTTTAGTTTAGTTTTTATTCTCTTAAAAAGTTGCTTTCCATAGATGCAAATAGGGATCGATAACAAGATTTGTATACTAAGGAGTGTCAAAAAAGATTATGTTCTGGTTTGAATTTGTCATACCAAAAGGTTTTTGGTATGGTCCCATACTAAATACAGTAACAAAATCTCTGCCAAGGCTCTGATGTGATAAACTATAATCTATTACCTCAGATAGTTGTGAAAATTTAGCATGAAGGGACAATTGCTAATTTTTGTGGAACTCAAGGTCCTTAGGTTGTGTAAATTGCCAATTTTAAGTGCTGAAGGGAGCAGCTGTACTGCTTGTAAGGAGAAACTTCGCTCTTGTGTTTTGTTGCTGAGGCAGTCAACAAAGTGGGGGAAAGCACTTGGTATCTGGATAAAACAAGTCTGAAAATGTTTGAAAGGAATGCAGCCATGGTTACCATGGTTCCAGCTGGAGAAATCCCTTTGCCTTACAAATACTAATTCATTTTAGGAATGAAAGTGCCCAAGACCAGAATCTCTTAGGGAAAAGATAAAACACTTATTTCTCTTTATTTGCATACAGGGAAAAGATAAAACACTTATTTCTCTTTATTTGCATACAGAGTGTCTTCCTACAGTCCCCAGGTATGAGTACTATACCTACAGGAAAAGCACATGTTTTTTAAATGATAAAGTCAAATGGAATTGAATTTGTAAAATAAAACTATAAACCTGTCTGTTTTCCTGCCTGTAGGTGAAATACTGTAACCTCCAGCAGCTGTGAGGGAGCGTATTGAAATGACAGTAGTAAAATAAAATGCCATACCTATGGATCCTGTTGCCTCTTACAGACTACATGCTCAAGTTACAATGTTTCAAGACCTATTCTTACTTGTTCTTCCTAGGGAAATTTATTTTAAACAAAAACTGGCCCTTTGTACCCTCCTATCCTAGAACAGCTATTTTCAGAACTCTGGGGTATGTACCATTTCACAGTATTTGTAACAACCTGGAACTACTGACAACTTGTTTTACACACAGAAACATTTCAGAAGTTCAGCTGTTTATTAATCTTTTAGGCTATGGCAACAGCTTAACCAGAATTCATTTGATTCACTGTGTTCCTTTTTAGTGAAATACTCAAGATGTGACCTCCAGTAGCCTTCTGAAGTTAATCTCCCCCCATCCCTGTGTTCCCAGTGACTCCCCTGAAACTCCAGACCCAATTTCCAGCCTTCATGCTCCCTGCAGAGCTTGGTTGTACTCATAGTAATATACAAAGTACTAGGAAAAAACCCAAACACTAAGCCAAGAAGTATTCCTCAGTGGGAATTAATTTAACAAAATTTAGCAAACAGTCTGGAAACCATAATTTTTAGCTTTTAGAATGTCTCTTTGGCTTCCTGTCTGCTGCCTTCTTCTCTTCTGTGCCCGACTCCTGCACAGGCAGCCACTTGAGGGGATTGCGGCGGTACATGGGCCATGGAGGGAGCGTCAGCTGAGGGCAAAGGAGGCAGTCAGAACATGGACTCTGAGGTGCTAAGGAGCTGTTCTGTACAGCTCCTTAGGAAAATCTTCATCCCTAACTGATTATCTATTAGTCCTTAAAAAGCTCTTACAATTTCATATACATTTACAGTTTACATTGCAAAGTCATGCTTAAGTATGTGACTACAGCAGCCCAGGTTGTTGCAAGGAGGAAGACAGCAGCCATCCAGAAGAAAAAAGGACTCCTGAGGTGATACCAGCATTCCCAGCACCTCCCACACTGCACTGAGACCCTCCCCTTGCCTGGCATCACGGGTAAGTAACTCAGGGATGTTTAAATAAGGAGCTGGTGGATGATGATGATGCCAGAGAATTACAGGGGCTTTTCAAAACAGTGGAATGTGTGTGTCTTGCGTAGTGATTGGTCAAATTGTGTTGTATCTAAACACTTGAGAGGTGTAAGAACCATTTGTAAAATGGGATTGGGAATGCCCCAATAGGAGTGGGACAGGACACTTCTCATGCATGGATAAGGAATTACTCCTGAAATTCCATATTCTGCCTCATTGTCTCCTCAGGCAGCAGGGGATGGCTGCAAAATTGTCATGAGAAGCTGCTACTACACAGAAAGCCTCCCTGTCCTATCTGTTACTAATGCTGTCAGCTGGACTTGACTCTAACTTTTAATTGAAATGAAAAATTAACTTAAAAGTGGTATTAAATTGCAAAAATTCTGCTAGCGTTTTAATAAGAGCACTTATTGGGCTGCAAAGCACTTTATGCAGATCAAAGGGAGCACAAATATGTATCAATAAATCTGAATTGCCTAGCAAACATTAGTCCGTGCTGACAGCTCCTCAATTTAGTAATTATTCCAGATTAAACAGTGCATATAATTTTTGGTTTGGGGAAAAAACGTTCTTACCAAACACGATAAAGCAAATCCAGCCATAACTATGTAGACAGTCCATCCAAACTGTTCAGTGATGTATCCATAGATGAAACCAATTACCTGGAAAAACAAACATTTAAAAAAATCAAACTTTAAATGAAGAAAAACATTTCCCATTACATTATTAAGATGCAGGGTGTAGATTTAGGTAGGAAAATACAGTTTTTTTTCAAAAGCATGTACATCTTTCAAACATTTTCAAAAGTGCAGGCCAACAATGAAAGTAGAAGATAGGAAGTAGAAAAGTTTTTATCTGTGACAGCCCTTCTGACTTTGCTTAAAGCTTTTAGTCAACCCAAACAAGATGAAAAATATATATAAGATCAGAAAATAAAATAGTCCTTTATGTTCTTACTCACAGGTCTACTATACTTACTGCAGAAACAAGAATGATTCCTTGAAAAATCTGTTCTGCTAATTTTTGGCCCTTGTAATCCTATGGAAAGAGATACTTTTTAGTCAGTTATTCAAAACACAGACCTGCCCACTTACATCTTTCAGGTTAGATCCTACAGTCTACCTGACCATGGGTTCTCAGTGTTTTTGTTCAACTTTCAAACCAGATTGGCATTATTTTTCTTACAGTGGCTGAAAACACCTCCTCTGCAGGCTTGACCACATCACCTAGAAACAGAAGCAAGCACTGTCTGTACAGGGTAAGTAATGCAAGTTCAAAATATCATTGTAGTCACCTTAACATGACTAAGTAAAAGCTGTATCACCACAGAAGAGAGTGTGCCCAAGAGGGCATGGTGTGTGTGGCACCTGTGTTCTGAAGAAGGCTGACAGAGAAATGTCTCCAGGTCGGTGCCAACAGGATGGTGCCAGACTCTCTTCAGTGGTGCCCAGTGCCAGGATGAGGAGCAATGGCCATAAACAAAAACACACTAAGTTCTACCTCAACAGATGGAAGAATTTTATGTTGAGGATGGCAGAGCCCTGGGACAGGCTGCCTAGAGAGGTCATGGAGTCTCCCTTTATGGAGATGTTCCAAATCCACCTTGATTCATTCCTGCTCCAGGTGACCCTGCCTTGGAGGGTTGGACTGGATGATCTTCAGTGGTTCCTTCCAAACCCAGCTAATCTATGTTTGCATGCCGTTAGAAAACCTGGCTCTCTGGGAGCACACGCTGCCTTCTGTCTTTCCAGAGCAGAGGCAGGAAAGCACACAGGGGTTTCCCGTTCACAGACAGCTTCCTCTTACAGCAGGAGAGTCCCAACTCACAGGTCAAAACCCGGAATTACACGGATTCATCCCGCATCCTCCTTGGCCGTGCCTCGCACACGGGTGCCAAGACCGCGAGCAGGGGACACCAGCCCCGCGCCCGGCCGTGTCGGCCGCAGTGCCCCGGTGCCCAGGCCCGGGCGGCCCTACCATCTGCGTGGGGATGGAGCGGAACACGCTCAGCATGGCGGCGGCGCTTCTCCGGCTTCTCCCCGCTCCCGTTCGCAGCCGTGTCCGCGCTCCCGGCTGGGGCTCCGCTGCTGGCGGGGGGCGGTGCGGGCTCTCCGCGGCTACCGGCGCCCGTCGCGGCAGAGCGGAAGGCGGCTGCTGAGCTGGCCGGAAACACGGCCCGTCCGCCCCGCCCAGAGCTCCGTCGGCCGCGGGTGCCGCCTCCCGCCCCGGCCACAGCCTCGGCGCCGCCGCCGCCGCCCCGGGGCCGCTCCGCTCCGCTCCGCTCCCCCGCGCCCGCCGGCTGTCTCCTCGGCAACGGCGGGGCCGCCCTCCCGGCAGGTGCGGGGCGCCGCGGGGCCGCCTGTCGGAAACCCGCACTGCCTCGGCAGCTCGCGGGCCGCCCGCCCGCCCGAGCCTCGGGCTCGCCTCACGGAGCCGCCGGGCGCGATATCGCGGCGGGGTGGGCGCGGGCGGGTTCGGCGCTGGCGGCGGCCAGGCTCCCGGGCGGGCACCCGCGGGCCGTGCGCTGCCGCGGTGGCGGCGCGGGCGGCCGCTCCGTGAGGGGCCGGGGCGGCGCGGGGGAGCCGGGCACGGAGCGGGGCTGTGCCCGGGGAGCGGCGCGGTGTGTGTTTTATTGTGGTCCGTCACCACCCCTGTGCGGGGCACGTTCTGTCACTGTCCCCAGCCCGCCTGCCGCGTGTCGCTGAGGCGCCGGCCGTGTCCCTGCGGGATGCGGGATGCCGGCCGTGGTGTGCGGGATGCCGGCCGTGTCCCTGCGGGATGCGGGGTGCCGGCCGTGGTGTGCGGGATGCCGGCCGTGTCCCTGCGGGATGCGGGATGCCGGCCGTGGTGTGCGGGGTGCCGGCCATGTCCCTGCGGGATGCGGGGTGCCGGCCGTGTCCCTGCGGGATGCCGGCCGTGTCCGTGTTCTCCTCAGCCCTGGCGCTGGGAGCTGCACCGCGGGACGTGGCGTTGTGCTCCCAGGCAAAGCTCCGTGTCCCGCCCCGTGCCAGCAGCGCGGCGCTGCTCGGAGAGCTCAGGGCAGGGATTTGCTGGGCTCCGCTGGTGTCTCCCCTGGGGGAGAAATGCAGCAGCGGGAAGAAGGTGGTTCTGGTACATGTAGCAGTCGCAACACGGTCTGAGGTGTTTTAATTTAGGGATTTCGCAAGTCTCTCACCGTTCCTGGGATTTTGCGTGGTGTTAAAGAGCTTTTTCTGTGTTACTTGTCAGCTCCTTCGTGCGCCAGGATACACCCCTCTTGTTCTTTTCACCTCGACCCTTAAATAATGAACAAGCATGTTTGAATTTCTTACAGAAATCGCTTTGCTGTTGTGTTTCTAGCCCCTTCTATAACATGATGGTACTGCCTTCTTACCCACTTTTTTTTCAGTTCAGGTAGTTAAATAAATAATTCCAACAGGAAAAAAAAACATACATAATTTTCCAGATTACTTTTGACTGGCAGAAGGAGTTTGGCCTTTTTTTTTTTTTTTTTTTTTTTAAAAAAAAAAAAAATTTTTTTTTTTTTTTTTTTTTTTTTTTCTGTCAGTGAAGTGGCAAGATCTGGATGTCTCCTTTTTATCTCTGAGAGTTTTAGATATGCCATTATAGTGGGGGAGTCCCTAACATGGACCTGGACGTCTTAGAATTCCTTCCAGTGCCTAAAGGGGCTGGAGAGGTACTTTGGACAAGGGCATGGATGATAGGACAAGGGGGAATGGCTTCAAACTGACAGGGCAGGTTTAAATGAGGCTTTGAGGAGAAATTCATCCCTGTGAGGGTGGTGTGGCCCTGGCACAGGTTGCCCAGAAAAGCTGGGGATGATGTCTGTGCCCATGGCAGGGGTTGGAACCAGGTGATCTTGAAGGTTTCTTCCAACCCAACCCATCCTGAGATTCTGTGGTTGTAGTCAGGTACTTCCTGAGGTAGTCCTCACTTTTTAAAATGTGACATAGGGTTTTACATATGTCATAAAACTGACAGAGGGAAAGTCACTGCCTTGGACACTGAAACTGTTGTGACACTCCTGGAGATAATGTGTTGTGCTGTGCCTCATGGAAGAATGCACTGGTAGTGACTGATGCTTTTTTTTTCTTGTAGGTTTGCAGGAACCTTATGCTAATAAAGTAAGAACAGAAAAATGACGTTAAGGAAAGGTATGTGTATATGCTTGTCTGATTTTTTTTTTAGTATCTTTTGTATCCGAGCTTCTCAGTTGTTCTCTGGTTATATTGATAAAGATTTTTCTTCTTAATTTTCAGTGAACATTTCCATCCTTATAGTGGCTGTTGTCATATTTTTGCTAGTTATTCATCATAACTTCCTAAGCCTCAGTGACTTCTTGAGACGGGAATTGTCAGGTATGTTGTGTTTTATTTTAATTTAAAAATATATATATATTTTTAAGATTTGGCTCTGGCCAGACAGAACCTGCCACATGGTTTGGGTGAATGGGTGGGGGAAGTTAATGAGGTTATAGGTGTGGCAGAGGGGACTAAAGGCAAGTGTAGACTACTGTAGCTCAGCCTTTTAATACCTTGTGCTGTGTGTGAATATGTGTGGATAAATGTGTGCAGTTTTCTGTAAATGTGGTGTTATTCTATTCATTCTCAAAAGCTGATGCTCTGAGTGTTTTATACTGGCTCACTGTAATCCACAGCTCAGCTCAGACATCCAAGTGTACAGCACAAATAACTGAAGTGTTGGGAATTTTAGTGCGGTAATAATAATATGTAGTAATAAAAACAAGTATGTTATTTTTATTTCACAGATCCAAGTCCCTTAGGACTTCAGCCTATAGATTTCATTCCTGCAGCTCCCCAGAGGCTGGCAGATGAGAGGAATGACAAGGAGATTTCTGTGGTCATTGCAGCCTCGGATGAGAGGCTTGGAGGTGCAATTGCAGCCATGAACAGCATTTACCAAAACACCAGAGCCAACGTGGTTTTCCACATTGTTACTTTGAATGATACTGTGGATCACTTGAGGTAATGATCTTTCATTGGATTCCCACAGCAGGGTGAACTCTGTGTTTCTGAGAGAGAAGCTGCCTTTCCCTGGAGCTGCACTCCCCTGACTCCCAGTCCCATCTGCTGCTGCTTAGGGCAGCTTTGTGAGAGGGCTGCTGTGGGAGTCCCACCATTCCTCCTGGTCAGGTTTCAGGGATGGAAAAGAAACATCTTTTCCAATGGGCTTATATCCAACCAGTGAGGTTGGAGTTTGTTGGTGGAAGGATTGTAAAAGGTACTTCTGCATTTCATCTAAGCATTCAAATGCTGGTGATCATGTTTCTCTGTTTTTATAGATTGTTCTTTGATCCTGTTATTCTAATCCCCTTCTGTCCACACTGGTGGTTTTGGGAAGGGCCTGTGATAACAAGACTGTGTATTTCTGATAAAGCAAGAAGTGACCTCACACCTTTCACATGTCCCAGGTGTGCAGGTGGTGACCCTGGACTTGCCCCTGGGGCCACACAGGACAGCACCGATGTCAGCAGCAATTACATCCCGGATGTGTTGGGCAGGGATGTGAGTGGCCACATTCAGATTGTGTCACTGTTAGCTACTTCTCCTGCTTTTCCCTTGCTTTTGTCTCATCTAACAAGATCTGTGCCTTTCTCCTGCTTGCAGGGTGTGGCTGAGGAGCCCTCCTCTAAAAAACATGAGATACCGAATTCTGGATTTTGACCCTCGTGTCTTAGAAGGCAAAGTACAAGTGGATCCCCAAAAGCCAGACAACTTCAAACCAGTAAGGATGATGCTGATTACTTTTGCAATTAGAAGTTAATAACAATATATTTTGATGTTGGCTTTTGAACCCATCTGGAGATCAAAACCAAATCTTTTAGCATAGAAGGAATCTTTCATAATAAAATCCCTACATTTCAGTAAAACTAGATATCTAGATAGTGAGAGTTGGATTTGAATATCTATATATGCATGCCTAGGTTCCTTTTTTGCTGCTAGCCACAGTGAAACACCGCAGCTGTCATGTCAAGCTTGCCAACACCTCAGACATCTATGTGGAGAAATAAGAAATTCTTATCTAGACCAGTTTCAAAGTTGGTTTATAAATGCATACATTCATGGTAAACCAGGAATTGATGGAACCTATTTATTTTAAATGGTAGGATATTGCTGTCTATTTTACATCCTCTATAGAAGCTGTTTTGGACATTAATGCCATAGATAAGTGCCAGAAAAATCAGTCAATTTCACATTTATTTGGACATTTTTAAAATTTAATTATCCATTTCTCTTGCTTTGCTGTTCTCACAGTTAACTTTTGCAAGATTCTACTTGCCCAGCTTTGTACCTCATGCAGAGAAGGCCATCTATGTGGATGATGATGTAATAGTGCAAGGTATGGGACCTTTGTTAGCTGCCAATGGTCTTATGCTGAGGTCAGTATCTTATCTCTCACAGAACCCAACATTTTTGTACAAACTTTGTAAATATGAATGAATGGAGTTAAACTGAGTAGCTTTATGTGCTGTAACTGTAACAATGGACTGAACAAAGCCTAACTTGGCACTTAGTCAGGATTGATTTTGATTTTCCTGTGCTTGTCCAGATGATATTGTTGAACTTTACAACACTCCATTGAAACCTGGACATGCAGCTGCATTTTCAGATGACTGTGACTCAACCAGTAGTAAAGTTGCTGTCCGTGGAGCAGGCAATCAGGTTAGTTTTAGTCTTGTTAACTGATAACAATACTGTAGATCTCAGGCATTTGGGAATGCTCTAAATGCTGAAACCTAAACATGAGACTGTCCCTGCCCAAACGAGGTTTACAAATGAGACCTGCAGTTTCTGTTCAGGCACAGTAAATTACCTGGAATTTTTGCTGTGCTTTGCAAAGAGAGCAGTTCTCGTTGTGGAATAGCAGGAGGTCTGAGAGCATTGAAGGGACAATTTTTTATTTCTGAATGTATAAAAAGTACTTTATCTGAGACTGGTACCATATTAGTAATACGGTATTATTATGATCATGCAGCATTCCTTAAAATATGTAGTATATGTAATCATATTTTTAAAACGTTATGCCTCTTAAGCTTTCTTTCTCTCATTTTAAAGGAAGGGATATTTGCTGTAACAACTTCAACTTAATGCCTGTCTGTTGTGAGTTGTGCAGAATTTTTCCTTAGGAATTTCCCCATATATTT